AAACTCAAAAAAAAAAAAAAAATTGTGGGGTCATGACCCCATGTGGGTCCATCCCTGAGTCTCCTTGAACATCAAACAACTTTTTTTCATCCTTGAACATCATACCCACCTCAGGCACATTCTCTCCATCTTCTCTTAACGCTTCATCCTCCACAATGTTGATATTGTCCGCAACTATCTCATTATCGGACTGCACTAAAGGATCTTCGTTCACATCTTCCATAATATCGTGTGCTACAACAAAGTCAGCGGTAACATTCGGCAATCAAAAACCAATTACAGCACAAAAACTAGATGGATTTTGTAATTTTAGAGTTTTACAAAAATCTACATTTCGTACACAACATTAATTTCGCAATTTCAGGTAATATATACACATGAAGGAAGCATCATAGAGCTTGAAATTTTTTTGAATACAATTACAAATTGCATCAACATAAGGGCCAATACTTTTGAAAATACATTCCATCTTAATTTCATACCACTCAACTCCTTGCATCGAATTACATAATGAATTTCATAAACAAATATGGAAGTAACGAAATCACTCTCTTTCACTTCAGAAATGTGCTCAGAATTATAAATTATATATTTTCGGATTCCATTTCCGGATTGGAAAATAGGTCGAACATTCACACAATTCATTTAAAGAAACATTACAAATTCAAAATGCACAATACTAAACAAATCTACAAAGAGTGTGGCTCACTAGGGCAATCACCCTATGTGGGTAAGAAAATGCTCATCACAATTGGAAGACACTTTTCGAACTGGACAATGCACAATGTGGCTCACTTGGGTAATCAGTTGAGGTGGGCATGCGATCGAAGAATACAAAATGGACTGATTTTCTCTATTGTCGGAGCTATAAATTTTTTCACTACAGATCCTATATCTCGGTGTTTTTAGGGCTTCATTTGGGGAAATGGCATTTCGCGAGTTAGGACATAAAAATATCTTTTCCCTTGTAAATTTTTTCTCTTGCCACGTCACCTATTTTTAAAAATTTATGTAGTGCCTCTGTGAAACTCACTCTGTACACCCAGCATTTTTCAATATTAAATGATAGATCAATTGAGTCATTGTTTGATCCTATTTTTTAAAATTCATTTTTAATCACATATTTTACGAAGTTTACAATTTTTATTCACTTTTCAATTATACATTTAATCATTTTTTATCAAATCTAATAAAATTTTTATTTTTAAAACAAAGCAGGAGGTAAATTTAGGAATATAAGATCCAATTGTTTGGGAGAGATTTTCTTAGTGAAAAATTGTTATTATTATTTCAGATTTCATGATTTAGAAAGAGTGAAAAGTTATGAATCTTATAGAATGTTAGATTGAAAATTAATAATTCCTAAAAAAATCTATCTCGCTAAGCAACAATTACATGTCGTGTCGATCAATTGGTGTGTAACATATTTAATTCATTTGTTGAGATTTAACATAAGTTTGTTCATTAATGAATTAGTATGTCACGTCACATGTCTTTAGTATAAAATGAATATCGATACTCATAATGACTTGTCATATCAATTCATTAATGGATAAAAAATTTAGTTGAAATAAAATATTCATTATTGGTCTTCATTTAATTTGTTTTCCAATTATTGAGAACTTCACTTTCCATCTGGAAAAGTTTGGTTGCAAATATTCATTTACCCTTCTGTACGATAATTATAATTCCACGTACGTCTTATCCATTCTCTTTTGAGTTACAGGCTTATAGCATCAAACAAGTTCAAATGGAAAATCCATTCTTGAGTTTAAGAGTAATCATAATGTTACCCTCTACCACTAAACTATATGATCCTGCATATTGTCCAGAAGTATAAGTGAATGATTCTAACAAGGAACTTCCTACTTTAATACAAAGCTACAAGAGCGAAAAATTTGCCTTCGATAGAGGCCACGGGCCAACAAGCCCTAACACACGAAAGTTTACCTTTGAGTTAGAATGATTCGCTAGATCAGAATTGCTCGATTCTTGATTTTAAACTGACAACAAAATTAATTTTAACTGAATCAGAACAGAACTAGATAATTTAGCCCACTCTTGTCCGATTTGAGTGATGCCAAATAAAGGGCGTGTTTGATAGAAATTAAAATTGAAAAACTAACTGTTATTGCTAATTTTTAATAGATGAGTGGGACAAATAACGACTATATTTTCAATTTTATTTGAATTTTAAATTTATCCAAACATGCTCAAAATTGCCAACTCCCACCCACCTCAAAGGCTACTTCGTTTTTCCTTTTCCAAATGTCCAAAAAGAGAGAGAGAGAGAGAGAGATTTGTACAAAGAAGACAACTGTTCTATCATATCATGGAATCTTAAAGTGGCAATGATCTTATCTTTGAATTGAAGTTGAACCAAAACAAACCTAATTCTTTAATACCCAATGGAAAACAGATTACAAGAGAAATCTGGGATAATTTCCCTCAATTTATACTATTATATAATTAATAAACTCATATTCACTTTACTACAAAAAAAAATTAAAAAAAAAAGCAATCATATTTAAGGAGACTAGACAAAAAGCTAGGAACAAAATTTTTTACTCATGTTCTTTAACACTATTTGATATCGTCTAATCCATTGGCCTTTTACTTTTCAGATCCAATGGCCAGGATTTACAAAAAAGATGAGCCTAAAATGCTAATATCGTTATATTATCATGCATATGAATTATGACGTCATATCTTCGTCAGATTTTAATTTTTCTTTTTTTACTAATAATCCCGCTGCTATTTTGCTTTTTGAATAAGGGGCTTCAAATGCTGCATCTCTTCTGTTCTTCCCATGAATTTCTTCCCGGATATATTGCTTTCTGGTTAGGAGGACCAATTGCAGATCGCCATAGCTGGGAAAGTTCTGTAAATCAAGAATAAAAAGATCACTATTAGTCGTTGTCGCTGACGTCGACTCATTAAAAATTCTATCCACCACCAGAATTTTAATGTACCTTTCGACGAAGAGTCGTAGGATTTCTTGCAATGAAGAATGGCGCCTTGGATTCCGTCTTCGTGCTGTTGCAATAGGGAACCATCCCTCCGGTTAATCGGCGACGGTGACATTCCGACAGCAGCTGAGGCCGATCGGCTTTTTCCTAAGTGCTTAGTTACAATCTTAAAACTACCCACTCTGCTGCTCTGCGATAGATTTACCGTCGCCGTCGTCGGGGAAGATATCGGCGTGACGGAATTAGAGAACTTCGATTTTTCATTTTGTCTCTTTGATACCTTGACATACAGAGGCTTTATCAGCTTTAAATACTTGGGGACAGACTGCTTTGGTTTAGCTACTGTGGAGGTCTCATCGGAGGATTCTTTTATCAATTTGCTTCTCAAACTGTTATCTCTGGTTAAACATGGGGAAACTGCAGCTTCAGATTTGCATTTCACGGAAAAGCGTTTGCTCTGTTCGTTTTTGGATGATCTCGAGAACCGAGTCGATGAAATTGCCGGTAACTCGTCGCCGGACTCACTTTTTCCCGCCTTTCTGAACCCCAGCATGAATACTTTAAACATCGGCCCCGATTTCAGTAGCGAAATCGGAGACGATAACAGCTTTGAATCAGATTCCATTGATAAATTGTTCCCGGTCATGAAAACATCTCTCGGAGATTCAACGAAATGAAACTCCTTTTTTGTTTCTTCGTTATTGGTGCAACCAGGCGATTTCAAGACCAAATCGAAGAACGATTCTTCGTCGTCGGTTTCTACGTCGGAGCTATTTCTAAAGGAATCTCCGGTGACATTCCGCCAGAACTTGAAAATGCTTAAAGATTCCATTGAGAGTTTATGCAATGCAAGATGGAAGTGATAGCGAATAACAGTAAAAATGGTGGGTGTATATAAAGGGGGAGAATTTTTATTAATGGCGTTGGGGTCTGGAAAAAATACTAAGAAAGTGGTGCTTTGGGAAAGTAGAGGTTGAAGAAGGCTTTTATGCAGGTTGGTGCGTGGGTGGGTGAGGTTGCGAGGAGCGGGGTGGTGGGTTATTAAGGCTTTGTTTGTCTCGTGGTTACATATTTACTATATTTTAATAATTTTTAGTTTTTGCAATAATTTTGAAGTCCACAATTTACTAGTAAAACCTAAGAAATGAATTAATCTAGGTCGTGTTTGATTGCATGGAAAATGTCACATTCGAGGAAAACGAATTCCAATTTGACCATTTGATTGCAACGTGGAAATAGAAACTGAATTTGAAGGTACAACCACTTTAATCTGCATTTTTTTTTTGTCTTCTTATGAGTTTGGTAAATTTTTATTTTCCAACTATTTCACATTTGTCTATCAAACGGAGTTCAAACCACCTTATCTACATATTTTGTGAGATTCACAAGTATTACTCACTTACCACACATTTATTTATAAAGAAAATAGCTTACAAGCACTTTTCAAACATGTTTAGTCGATCTTTAATTTTTTATTATAGTTGCAAATCCGTCAAAGATTAAATTTTTTCACAATTTGTTTAATCGTCTTTTTTTTTTTGGTTAACTTGGGCTGGTACCAAGAAATCTAAAATGTATGTTTTCACATGAATTACGGGACCTTTTAAAGAATACTTGGAGATTCCTAAAGTGGATACTGATTTTGTAACAAAGATGAAAATTTGATGACAAAATGCTATTTGGATAATAAATAGGGTACCAACAATGTAATGTTTTCCTAAATACATATGAAACTACTATTTTTTTACAAAATTGACCTTCAAAAAGTAAGAAAATGATGCTCAAGAACGATGGTTGTGATTCTTTCGATTCT